AGTTGACAGCTCTACGTGTTGAAAAAATGTAAGTTTTTAACTTTTTTTCCGATTTTCGTACAAATCTATTGCACCACGACAGAATTTTGCATCTATTTTAACCCTGTAAAAGGAGTTTTGATTTCGTTAAGTAAATTCGGCGATGTAAATTGATCTGCAAATTACCGACAATTTGGCCACTCCAGCATCCCCTTAAAAGTGCATTTTATATAAATAAAATATTCCTATCCAAAGAAGAACAATACAATCTATTGAATAAGTATAAAGATAATGGGAAATTTGTCTTACCCTGCTATGAAAGAAAAGGATTTTTTCCAAATAAAATTTCCACAAGTTACAGATAGTTAACTGACAAACGGCAAATGTAAACGGCTCAGTTTGATTAGTCAACTAAAAAAAGATTAATTTTTAAAGGATGAATAAACAAGGATAATGTGATACATCATGTACATTATGCGTGCAACAGAACGCATCCTTTATTTAATATTCGGTGAACAATAAGGATAAAATAGATACACGCAGAGCGAATTAAGGGAGAGTGGAGCGAATAGCGTTCTCTTCTTTGATTGGTTCCGCCATTTATCCGCTCACTTCTGCAAATGTGCATGTATGCATGTACGTATATGTACATACACACAGTACTAATGCGGTACAATACTAATGTGTGCAGCACCGTGTGTTCAATCACGCTTTACCATATCTTCTACTTACTCTAACGAATGGCGTCTTTCGGCTGAATCCGCTTCATTCTCTCTTGATTCTCTTTGAATACACCATGCGCATTATGCATACAACAGATAATAATAAATATGTCTTACCTTGCAATACGAAAAAAAAATCGTTTCTAAAGTTATAGATTCCAGTTATAGATAATTAGAAGACACGGTAGTGGCTCGCCGCTAAGCCAAGCGCAACGACACGAGTGAGGCACGATTGCGCACATTAACTATCTGACACGACAGGATTTCCCGATTGGACACGGATCCGATCGGACACGGACTTGATCGGACACGGATCCGATCGGACACGGACCCGATTGCGCACGGATCCGTTTGCACACAGACCCGATTGCGCACAGACCTGTTTGTACACGCCGATTGCGCACAGACCTGTTTGTACACGAACAGTGGGGTATCAGCGTAGGGGGTGATCCCGATTGACCACGTCTCGATTGGACACCACCAATCACAGCGACCGGTGCTTAGGAGCTTTGTAGCGTCTCAAGCGCTGTGAGTGGCTCGTGTCCAATTGAGCCGTGTCCAACTGGGTGCCACCCCCCTCATTACGCGTAGAAGGCTTGTGAGCTATAGGTAATATTGTATGTAAGCAATCGAGCTGTAGGCAATAACACATGTCAGGTCCGTGTGCAAACGGGTATGTGCGCAATCGGGTCGGTGCGCAATCGGGTCGGTGCGCAATCGGGTCGGTGTGCAAACGGGTCCGTGCGTAATCGGGTCGGTGTGCAAACTGGTCCGTGTGCAATCGGGTCGGTGTGCAAACGGTTCCGTGCGCAATCGGGTCGGTGTGCAAACGGGTCCGTGTGCAATCGGGTCGGTGTGCAATCGGGTCGGTGTGCAAACGGGTCCGTGCGTAATCGGGTCCGTACGCAATCGGGTCCGTGCGCAATCGAGTCGGTGTGCAAACGGATCCGTGGGCAATCGGGTTGTGCACAATCGGGTCTGTGTGCAAACGGGTCCGTGTGCAATCGGGTCGGTGCGCAATCGGATTAGTGTGCAAACGGGTCCGTGTGCAATCGGGTCGGTGCGCAATCGGATCAGTGTGCAAACGGGTCCGTGTGCAAACTGGTCCGTGCGCGATCGGGTCCGTGTCCGATCGGGTCCATGTCCAATCGGGTCTGTGTCCGATCAGGAAATCCTTTCGTATCTGATTGTTAATGTGCGCAATCGGGACGCTCCCCAACGACACTATCATGGCTATTTGACAAACGGGAAATAATGGCTTAGCTTGATTAGACAACTGAAAAAAAAATTAATTATTAAAAGATGAATAACAATTGTATAAAATGTTACACCATGCGCATTATGCATGCAACGTATATACTCTAACAAGTTGTAAGGAGATCAAACTGTGTATTTACGTGTGCCGGCGAGATAAAAATATTAATTACATTGTGAAATGCAACAGAAATTAAACAAAAACTTAATGTTTTTAGTAGGGTAGCTAGGTGGGTTCTAACCCAGGGGCAAGGAGGGGGGGTGAGGGGCAGGGGGTACCCCGCGGCGAGGGGG